CTGTAGATCCTGAGCTGGAGAACCTGAGCTTTAGAACCTGAACCTGTTGCTAACTCTTGTCCTGCGGTGGTTCCTTTAGGGACTGTCAACAAATTTCTGAACCAAACGCTCATGAGGAACAAAAATAAATTAATTCCTTGTCTTGTGGCCAACTGAAACAAAACTAATGGCTAATTCTGGAATTAGGTTACATCAAAGAGGCACACATTTTAAGTTTATTCAAAGCATTTTTCATATTTTTACGATTTCATTATTAAAATATATATTAAAATGTAACGTTCCATAGCTTCCAGGTCAGGGGACCTTTTGACTGAAAATCTGTCTGATATTTTTCTAATAGATAGTAAAGATGAGACTCTTGGAAAAAGTACAGTATTATGTTGGGTTTTTTTCTGTTTAGCAGTTTTTTTTTTGTTTGTTTTTTTAAACACATTTTATGAAAAGATTTAGCCAGAGAGGGCCAGGCTGAAGGACAGCACAGGACACTGAGGACCAACGTAGGACTGAGGACATTGTAAGAATGTGGCTGTATTATTTGACTCATGAATGAAATTAGTAATCAATCATCCTATTTTACTGTTTGTTTTAGCTGCTTTAAGCTTTTGTGTCTCTGATGAGAGTTGAATAAATTCAGTTAGGAATAGTTTGCTGATTTTTGTATTGATAAACATGAAGAAACAAATGAAAAGTAACAGGAGGGGGAACAATGTATTGACTCTAACAAACCCACATACATGTTAAATTCATGTATTTAAAGTTTTTTGATTTGAATATTAAGAAGCAGGATCAACAGCTCAGAATGTGTAAAAAAGCCAAGGTAAAGAAATATGTCTTAAGAAGGGATTAACTATCTTAAGTTCTGTCTTTGGCTTCAGATTAAACTGTGGGCAGGCGGTGCCTGTGGGAGTCATTGAGAGACGAGACCTAAAGATCTAGAGGAACCCAGGGAGAGAGATCTCAGCTGGTTCTGAGAAATAAACCAGTGTGTGACCCTGATTGGAGGCGCTCTCTGTCCTGCTCTATTTTAAGGCTGTTTTCTAGCATTTGATCTGCAGCTCCCTTTCTGTTTGGATCCCTCATATATCCACAGAATTCAGAAAGTTAATCAGAAAAATTAGTATAATAACTAAATGCAGAAAAGCTATTTGATTTGCAACCAAGTATCGCTATTTATGATTTTAAGAATAGATGTATCCTTTTTCATCTATTTTCACTTTGATAAGTTAGTGAATTTTGTTTTTGGAGACTGATATGATTTAAAAAAATGCAGCATATATAAGGTTTAGTTGGGAATAAAACATTTATTCATCTCTTTCCTTTTTGCTCTTTTAATATTCTTTGACTTTTCCTTTTAGTGATCAAATTTCCAAAGATAAAGGATAACTTAAAGTTTTGCAATGTCTTTAAAAACAGATATTTAGGATTCAATTTTTTTTTTTAAATGCATTTTTACTAAATGCAATAAATTAATTTAGAAAATGACAACAATTGTACAGTAATATACTTTTGGAAATAATAAACAATTTGCAACTTCTATTATTTAGAAAGGTTTATAAATGTATATCTGAACAGATAAGAAATCAGCTAACACCCAGCAGCCAAAACACAACAGTTCTTGACAAATTATTATTATTATTTTTTTAAAGAAATAGCCTATCTATAGATAGATAGACAGACACATAGTTAGTTAGATACATAGAGGCTTCAAAGTTGTCAGTTTACCTAGAATACCATTAAAAATATCTCCCATTCTTGACAATCATTCGACACCTGTAAATCTTTTCTTTTAGCGATGTTTCAACTTTATGACAAAATGGAAAACCTTAACTAATTGATCTACCGTTTACATGTTAGGGTGTGAAACTTCTCCAGAGATGTGGAGGTTAAAGCTTGCAGTGATGCTGATGTCATTAGGCAACAAACAGAGAGGTGACATGATGATGTGAGCTAAATTCAATGGATCAATAATTGTGCTTAATTTGATTCAGTAATTGACATAAATATTACTCTGAGGTATGTTTAGCTTTTGCTAACACATGGTTTATATAATTTAAACTCGTTATCTGGTTTCACCTCCACAGCTGTCTGGAAATCATTAACCTTTCCAAGGCTGTTAAACAGACCCTGATCTTTATGCTTCTTTATGCTTCATTTAACTGTAATCCGTTTTTTTTCAATCAACAAAAAGGTCAGAAAACTTGGTATAGTGGCTTCCTTAAAGATCCTTTAGGCCGCTGAGAGTTCGGGTTGGGTCCTCCTTTCTTGCCCTATTTGTGACGCGCTTAAATGTTTATATTGTTACAGATTCGCTGGAATCCAGGATGCTTTTGTTTGTTTATTAGCACCAGCATGAGTTAATGACAGCGCAGCAGGGATGATTGTGGCAAACAAAGTTAGATCCGTTAATTAATATAGGAAACGAATGAATACTGGAACAAAATAATATGAAACGTAGTGAAATGAAGCGGCAGCCCCACCCTTACTCTTCTCATCAGTGAGACAGGTGAGTGCGCACTTATACACCTTCTTCCTTGGTGCACACCCACCTCCCTTTGAGTCTCCACCTCCGAGACACACCATACACCACATAACCATTTATGTCTCCTACACCTGGGAAATAGAAAAAAACCCTGCAAAATTAGAATTGTAACAAAATAAAAATATAAAAATGAAATAAAGTGAGTGTGTCTCATCTAGTGGAACAACTTCAGACAGATTTTCAGTCACATGACCTGGAAGCTATTGAATAAAAACAATAAATGTAAAGTAAATAAAATCTTGGAAAACATGAAAATGACTTTTTTTTAACATTTACCACTGGGTTTGCTTCATTTGACCAAAAGACAAGGAATTTATTTACTTTTGTTTCTCATGAGTGTTTGGTTTGAGAATTTGTTGACGGTCCCTAAATGAACCACGGTGCGTGATAAGAGGGAGCAGCAGAGAAGTCTGTCGGTGTCTGTCACCAAACACCTTATTGGGGGCCTCCAGATGGATTTCACAATCCTTGTCATGTGATCCCTGAACTATGAGGAGGGCCAAATGCATAATCAGTTTTTATTCTGTAAAAATTCACAAAAAAAAAAAGAAATCCACTGGACATGGTTTCCAAGACTTGAAGACGTTTCGCTACCTCTCCAGGAAGCTTTCTCAGGAGGTAGCGAAACATCTTCAAATCTTGGAAACCAGGTCCAGTGGATTTTTATTTTATTTTTACGGAATGACTGTGACCTGGATGACTGAGAATCTTCATCAGCAAATCAGTTTTTATCTTTAACATTGAACCATTAATTAATTAGAAATACATTTAAAATGATGAATAAAAAAGTGATACTTTTTAAAGGTAAAAAAAAATGCATATGTACAACCCTGTACCTCCTCCCAAGAGGGAACGCCTATTAAACATGTGCGAGAGCGTGCACAAGCCCATTTCTCCTCGTGCACGCTTTGTTTAAAAGTTGCTGTTGTCATAGCTCATCCAATGTTACCGTGTCCGACCATACGTCCTAACCCCTAAATCCATCATCACTATATAGAGTGGGGACTCTATAGTGAACTTTATAGTGAACTCAGTTAGCTGACCGTTCAGACAGATCATCACTGCTTTTTGCTCCTGTGGTCACATAACTCCTTCTCCACTGCGTGATGCCTGCGCCATCTTTGTTTTTAGCCGACCGCTGTCAGGTAGTAACAGCCTATGGTGACAGCGGGCCGCTGTTACAGCAAATCCCAGAATGCTTTGCAATGAGAGCTCCCCATGCAAATTATTCTGGGATATATCTGCCTCTTCTGAGGCCTTTCTTTTCCCACCTTCGGCCATTTTCAAAGAACCGCAGTGAGAAAGGTGAGCCTCAATGACTGAAACCGTAGCTCACCACAGATATACGCCTGAAGGTGCGCAGAAAAAGATTGGCCCCCTTTAGCTGGAAATGCTGAGTTCAAGGGTTCAGCAACCAGGAGGAAATAACAAGGCTGACCTGGAAGCTGCTGGAGACCAGAGTCTTTGTCCTCAGTGAAGGTTTGACATCAGCATGGGCCAAGAGGGCACCAATGATCCATTTCACTGTTAGATGAGACAAACATTTGGCCACAGTGATGGCAGGCGTCCTGGGAGGAGTCAAGGTGAAGCCTTTTAAGGCACGATGGTGGTAGCATCATGGTCAGAGGCTGACCACAGCAGAGCTTCTAGAGTATCATGTAGGGATGCATGATATAATCGGCCCCCTATCGGTATCAGCCTGTATCGGCCTTAAATCTGAATATCGGACATCGGCCACCCCACCGATATTTAACCCGATATGGGGAAAATAAATTAAACATTTTGAATCTTAACATCTAACTATCTAAAATCTAACATAAAAAAATCAAAACTGAATCTGAAGAGATATTTCTAAATACAAAGAATTTGAAATATGAAAAAAACTAAACTGTTTTTAGATTCATGTGTTTTTTCCAGTTTCAGATTTTTTTTTTTCACCTTTAATCTGCTGCCTCCTTAGTGTGGGGCCGGGACTTAGATGATTGGTGTGGAATGATGACTGAGAGGAGCTTGGACAAAATGTTGCATTCAGGGACTCCGGGAAATAAAAATGTCTTCAAAACATCTCCAATATTCTGTGTATATGAGATTAATTATTACTATTATAATTCCCCTCTCCTGCAGGCGTGCAGTTCACCAAGCACCCATCCAATCAAACCGTTTCTCAGGGGAACGAAGTGAGGCTGGGCTGTGCGGTGGAGGGGGTGACGGAGCCGGACATCGTGTGGATGAAGGATGGAGAAAAGCTCTACAGCACTGACCAAGTCTTCCTCATCCTGGGAGAACAGCACTGGGAGACATCCCATAGGTCAGCAGGAGTCATGGTCACATGATTACAGCTTCTTCCAAAAGTATTCATGCCCTTTAAACTTTTTCACATGTTGCACATTCCAGAAATACAAATACTTTATTTGATGGACAAAAAAATTCATTTTTCCACTTTAATGGGCTCGGATCTGAACAAGCTCAGATCTGAACGGGTTCGGATCTGAATGGGCTTGGGATCTGAATGGGCTCGGATCTGAATGGGCTCGGGTCTGAATGGGCTCGGGTCTGAATTGGCTCGGATCTGAACAGGTTTCAGATCTGAACGGGCTCGGATCTGAACGAGCTCAGATCTGAACGGGCTCGGATCTGAACGAGCTCAGATCTGAACGGGCTCGGATCTGAACGAGCTCAGATCTGAACGGGCTTGGATCTGAACGAGCTCAGATCTGAACGGGCTCAGATCTGAACGAGCTCAGATCTGAACGGGTTCGGATCTGAACGAGCTCAGATCTGAACGGGTTCGGATCTGAACATGTTTGGATCTGAATGGGCTCAGATCTGAACTGGCTCGGATCTGAACGGGCTCAGATCAGAACGGGCTCGGATCTGAACTGGCTGGAATCTGAACGGGCTCGGATCAGAA